GCTTAATGTCTTCAGGCTATTTTGGCAAACAAGGAAAACAAACTGACTTTAAAAGTCAACATCTATTTGATGTGGGATGATATTTTTCTGAGAAGTCATTTTATTGTAACAGTCATATTCTTGAGCTTTATAAAAGATTATTTCAGTACCAAATTACAATTTTCAGAGAAGTACACAGTGTTATTCTGGAAAAATAACAGAATAAAACCCCAAGGAATCTAGAGTGGGTCACTATGAAAATCTTCCTTTCTTTGGTTTGGACTCTGTCATGCTAAGCTGACAATGCTTTATTGTGGATGCGTAGCTATTTCAGTTTTCTTGGGCTGGGGGGAAGGAAGGCTCCAAAGCACACTGAATTATTTATGCCTGTCTCTATTTTCTTAAGAGTGTGGCTTCAGCCTCTGACACTTGTGTTCATGAGGTGGAGGATGGGATATTGCAATCCCTATTCCATGTGTTAATCTCTCTTCCAGCAGTATTTATCTGTTCATTGTTTGTAAGTGAAAAGTAACATCTAAATAATATTTCCATTAGATTGTTGCAACCTCTATGTACAGATTTAATTGCAATTTTATTCTGTGTTGAGCACTTCTGATTGTGGATAGATATTTACCCTAATAGTACAAGTTGTTCTAATTGGAATTTGTGAGCTTTAATATGTGTCAGCATCTGTAAGATCCTCAAGCTGTGAATGGAAAATACTCCAGAGTAAAATGTTTCAGGTTTTGATATTTTCAGCCTGAAAGTTGGTGTTTTGTGTTTATCAAGATTTATGGGTTAGTTTTCTTGAGGTGGTGCTAGGCAATAACACACCCATGTTCACCCCATTTCAGGAGCACGGCGATGCTCAGACATGTTTATAAGGCTCTGGTAATTGCTGTCCCTGTTGTTTCCCATCGTGATACACAGCCAGCTGTTTGTCCAGAGAAGAGCAATGAAGCTGTGCAAAGTGTGTCCTATGAGGAGCAGCTCCGGGAGCTGTGGGTGTTCAGCCCAGAGAAGAGGAAGCTCAGGAGGGACCTTATTGCTCTCTACAACAGCCTGAAAGGAGGTGTAGCCAGGTGGGGGGCAGCCTGTTCTCCAGGCAACCATGACAGGAGATGAGGAAATGCTCTAGAGCTGCACCAGGGGAGGCTCAGGTTGGACATCAGGAGGAATTTCTTCACTGAAAGGCTTGTTGAGCATTGGAACAGGCTACCCAGGGAGGTGATGGAGTCACCATCCCTGGAGGTGCTGGAGAAACTCCTGGATATGGCACTTAGTGCTATGATTCTGTGATTGCCCAATGGTTGTTACTCCTTTCTCTCCCCATTAAAATACTTATGAACTCAGTACTGTCTGTTTTACCACTGACAGTAGTGGTGATATATTCACACAATTAATTTGGCTTGTCAGGTGTTAAATGGGACTTATCACAATGAGAAAAGATCTTAATAAAGGAACTTGTTAAGTAAGTCTTCTTTATAGTGTCAGAACACAGGAGACTGGAAAAACAATATGACCAGGTGGAATATTGCATCCCTGTTGTAGCATGTTTTTGTCAAATAAAAAGATAGCAAGTGGAGTATATTAGCTTGTGGCTGCTGCTCAGAACTCTTTTTTCAGCCTTTGTGCCTGCAGTGATTCGAGGTTGACCAAGCATGCTGCTGTTAACTCCCTGCAAGTGCAGCTGTTATGATGTGGTGGCACAGCGTAATGTACAGCTCTGCCTATTTCCAGGGCTTCCATATGCAGAGTGATATTGGATATAGCCTATAATGGTGTGTACAGCCCATTCCTCTGAGCTTGCAGTGGCCCATCTATGAGTGCAATGGTTTGCAATTGAGACATAAGTCTGTCTACAGCAGAATGTAGGTCTGAGCTATGGTCTGCTGGGAAAATCAGGCCAGTGTGCTTAACATGCTCTGTGGGAAAGAACTGTGTGAACGGGTAGCAAGCTGTTCTTTGAGATCTATTTGCAGTCATTCCCTGTGTTTTCTAAGGTTTTCAGGATTACCTTTCTCTGGAGGAACAAGCCCTCTGTGAAAAAAAGTGTAGGAATTATAACAGTAGGTGGTTTTAGAAGTCAGGCTGATTTATCAGAGGTCCTATGAAGGAGTGTTCTTTTCCTCCTGTGGGTGAAAGGTGTTTGTACAGTACTGAGCCATGTAAGTGGGGAAAGAGGTGGAAAGTATGTGAAAATGAGCATGAGGACAACCTGAAGCTGAATAAAGAAAAGAAGAGCATGAAGTAGGCTAGTAGAAATACCCTGCTTAGATAGGTGGCTGCTAACAGACTGTTTTAGCTATGTGATGGAGGAAGATAAAGTACAGTAGAGTTCTGAACAAATAGAGGTTGGGGGTATATCTGAGAAATGGCCATCCTTTTGTATATTCATCTTTTGTACGTTGTATATTTTGGCCACCATTTGTATATTCAAAATGAACCAAATGAGGTTCAGTGGAAAAGTGCAACCTAGCATACTGAGTAGATTTAGACTGCTAGATGGCTTCCTTCTCTAAAATCTGAGATCCTAGTGCAAACTCCTCCACTGACAGTGGAGGTTTTCAGGATAAGGTTGAAACATTTGACATTGTTTGACTGTTATGTACTCACCTGTATGGAATAAATTGTGTTGAACTGACCTCTAGTTACTGGGCAGCTTGCTCATACTTATGAAATATACTGTGTGTGGAAGGGAGCTCTAGTTATAGAGGAGCTTACTCACACTTTTGTGCTTAAAAAAACATTACCAAAATGGCAAGTTTGGTTTTGGTTCAGTAACTGTTGGTATATTTAAGGAAAAAAAAATCCCACAAATACACTTACTCATACTTTCATAATTAAAAAGCACTACCAAAATGGAAATTTGTTTTAGGTTCAATAACTGTTGGTATATTTAAGGGAAAAAACAATCTCACACATACAGTTGAGACTGTTTATTTCAGGGAGGTTTCAGAGTTCTGAAGGGCATTATATACCTACAGGCTTTTAATTCTTTTCCCAATCTATTCAGACTGTGGGTATGTAAATGTCTGCCTTGCATTCCTTCATAATTGTTCAGTAACGGAATGCTGAAACATTGCCCATGGTTTTAAGCCTATCTGTCAATAGATTTAGGTATTAATTTAAAAAAATTAGTATTCTATAGAATTTTAACCTTTATTACTAGGCTCTTGGATGCCTAATGTTTTTCAGCTGTGTCGTGTATTTCAAATAAATCTGCTTAGTTAATGTTTAGAATAAAGGAAATACTTCTTTCGAATAGTGAGGTCCTCACTAAATCTGCAAGTTGTTGAAGATTTTGGTTTATCTGGCAATGTATCAGAAGACAAATGTGGTGCACTAAAAGATGAGTTACCCGAAGGCAGATGGTAACTCTGAGTGCTGGAAAGCAATTTCATTGACATCACCAACACAGCAATACTCGGAGTAATTCATAGCAAAGTACTGCATGGTTTCATTAGTGATGAAGGTTGGGCAACACTCTACATACATACCACGTTCCAGTTAAAGCACAGAGGCAACTGAAGTGAGACTTTTTATTGTGTCCATGTGCAGGACACTCCTGTAGAACCAGTGATGTCCCCGATTTAGAGGCACAATAGGCAGGTCTGCAGCCCCAGAGTCCTCTGACAGATGTTTTATCACCCGAAGTAATTCCAGCTCGAAGTCGCTTGTCCTTTCCCACTGACCAAAACTCTGCTTATGAAAAGGGATTTGTTTCCTAATGCATTTTTATCTCAAGTGGATGAATGCAATTTTACCTAAATGGAAGGATTGTGTGAGTTCCCTGGACAATTCATTGCCTGGCACTGTATTGGTAGGGGGCACTTCTAACATGGATCTACTTGACCCTGTGAGGAGTATGTACTCAAGTAGCACTGCTTAAAAAAAAAACAAAACAGCAAAAGAAACCCAACAAATTTGAATGGTTTGAAGCATGTGCAAGCTAATGGTAAAAGAGCAGCTTTGCACACTCCCCCATGCCCAGCATTGTCTTGCAGATGAATCTGGGGGGGGAACTCATTTGCTGGTTGTTTCTAAGGAGTGCAAATGTGTGCAAGTATTTTTACTTCTTCAGGATATTGTGGAAGATGAAGAGGAACTTGTTTGTTTATTTGGGAGCTGAGTTTCTATTGCTGTGATAAGAACTATGAAGAAATCTCAGGCATCTGTGTTGAGTGTTTTTTTAACAAGTGATAAACATCCTACATTTTTCTTTTGTAGGCATATGTGCCAGAAATTTTCCTGAATAGTGGAAAAAAAAGGCATATGTAGAAATGTACACAAGGCCAGCAACAGCAGTGTAATAGTCCTGAAACAGTTTAAATTTTTTCTTAATATATTGTCATTGCAAACACTTAAAATTATCCTATAAACATTTCACATTAGCCTACATAAACAAATAAACAGCAATCAATTAACTTCAGGTAAGAGCAGCAATACAGACAAACCACAGAGAAAATAAAGTGCAATTAGTGCTTCAGTCTGTCTCCCATCTGAGGAGATAAATTGACTGACAGTTTTTGATGTAATTGTGCTGTGCCTTTGTTCTGTTTCCAGTTATGCTGTTGTCCTCTCTCAGGAATCCCTCAAACATGTTTTATCTTCCCTTTTTAAAAATATTAAAGTGCATGCGAGCAGAGGGAATAAATTATTTAAAGTTATTCCGTGTCTCTGCACTTGTCTGAGTCAGCAGAATACATCTAGGTCATATGTTCCCAAGCAGCTCCAGTGCAGAGGATCTTCTTTCAGTGGGGACTAAGCAGACTCATTAAAGTATTTTTCCTATTTTCTTTTTTTCCTATTTAAGCCTTCACAAAGCTTGGGTGAAAAATTATGAAAATTATTATATTTTTAAAATTAAATTCAGATAAGCTTCCTTTGAGCTTCTCTTATCACTCCACAATCAGCTGACAGAGGGAATGCATTCCCTCTTTGCTACAGTTAGTACCAGTAGACTGAATGGTTCTCTAATGTGTGCAGTTTTGTTTGTCTGTGCTTTCTTTCCTTTCTAGGATGGCTGCAGCTCCTCCAAGTTACTGCTTTGTAGCCTTCCCCCCATGTTCTAAAGATGGGCTGGTGGTATTTGGGAAGAACTCTGCACGGCCCAGGGATGAAGTACAGGAGGTGGTGTACTTTGCTGCTGCAGAGCACGATCCAGGAAGCAAAGTTGAGGTAAGGGTGATTTGTAGCATTCAAACTGTGAGAAATCACTGTTATTGGAAGAAATGAATACTGTCTTGTTTTCTTATCAGCTTGTGGAGTCCTTGCTCACTTCACATAAATCTCTTGAGTAGAAAAAGACAAGATTTTTAGAAGTCTGAATACAAAACTCACAATGTAACTTTTTTAACTGGGGAGAAATCCATGACCTCTACTTTTTCCAGCAGACAGGCACAACTGTTCACATCCCAGATTCCTGCACCATGTAGTTGACTGATTTCCTTTTAAGGGAAAAATATCCTGGTTAACTGGGACTAGAAGACAATTTTCAGAGCTTGCCAAATGAATTATTCTCATTCATGTGTGTTGTTTGGCAGTAATGGGGCCTGACTGTGCTACACAGGTTGAAACCCAGGTAGCCAGAAATCTGTGACTTGAGGAACTTGTGCTCTAATAAGGGAATGTGAGAGGAGGAGAATGAGAGTGTGCAAGCTTTGTAAGCCAGACTTAACTCTTGTACATGCCATTGGCTTTGTTGGCATGTTCTGCAGCTGGGCACCTGCATCTTGGTTATTTTTTAGTGCTGTGCTTTTCTCTGAATCTGGGCTGGATGTGGAGTCCTGAAGCTGGACACTGATGCTGCACAGCCAGGAGCTTTTAGAGTCCACAGGGTCTTGCTCTGACTGGCAGAATCTGTGAGGTTCCCTGCATTCAGCTTCCTCCTGCCCCTGTGGCTGTGCAGAAGGCTGAGGACAGGAGGTGTTCTGCACCAGGCTGATGTCTCTCATCCAAAGAGATTCTTTATGGATCTAGTTGTCACTTACCCAGGAGATATCCAAAGGCCAGTGCCAGTTTTAATACTGTTTGTCAAATGGGATGACTTCCAGATTTCAGATTTCTTCTTTCTAACAGTTAATGTTCTCTTAATTCATTTTGCTGCCAATATCTAGTACAACTTGTGCATTACTAAATGGTTTAATTTTGGATATAAAGAAATCCCCTCCCCCAGAAGCACTACGTGCAGTTAAGTGCTGTAGCACCTTGTAGACATGTGCTGGCATATGTAACACAAGTGTGACAATAAGACAAGAAGAAAGCTTCAGAGCAGTTTGTTTTAAAACACCTCTTCATAGAACTGGAAAAAAAAAGTTACTGGAGAAGAAGAACTTTGGAAATCTTCTTTGTTTTGTACCCTTAATGGAGAATAATTTTTGAGAACTTACTGTAAGAGTTCTTGATTCTTTTGGCCCCATATCTTACTCTTTGATGAAATTGTCATAATTTGCTGAAGCATATAATTAAGCCAAATATAATCTATTACGATTCCTCTTTCACACCATGATTAACTGGTTTAGTGACTTCCTTTAGAATTCAGTCATAAACTCAAGTCTTTGGCCAGACCTTTTAGAAATGGGAAGCATAATTCCTTTTCATAGCACAACACAGTTTGTAGATTTAGTCTGCCAACAAGGATCTGCAAGCATTCCCCTTAAGTGATGAATTTTTTGTTTTAAATCAAGGTAAAGTTTGTTGCAGTGTGGTGAAGATGCACTTTTAGATGACAGACTGGAGTGGGCCATTTTTTTTTCTCAAGTAAAGGCTTAAGTCCTAATTAATGGATACTTTGGCTTCTGCTGGTCTATGCTACTATGCAATTCTTCATTAGCTAGCCTGAGGTTTTTCAAGTAAAGTTGTGTACAGCAACATACAGGCTCCAGATGTTTGCCAAAATTCTTCCTGTTTCCTCCTAGCACAGGATAAAAAAATCATCATTTTCTCTGAGAGTAGTGCAGTAATTGTTTATCACTGCATCTTCATCACATTCAGCACTAAGTATTGTTAATGTCTTTTCCTTTTTTTTTTACTCATGCATATTTTGAGTAAGCTGGTTAAAACACAGAACTAATTTTAATTGTTTTGTTAGGTCTAAGGGCTGTCTGGTAGCTTTGCACAGTCGTTGTGTATTGGTAGTGAGTGGCACATCAAAGTCAAGAAAAGCTTTAAGAAAGGCTTGAATTCAGCTGCTTCGCCTTGTTAAATGCCAGGCATGTAATACTATCTACCTTTTAAAAAAACTTGTCAGAGGTAATTAACTGATGGGGGAGTTGAGAGGAGTGTCAAGCTTCTATATGTAGCTTTGACATACCCAGGGTTAATACATTGTTCTTTAAAACCCATGAAAGCTGCCAATAATAACTTCAGTTATTGTTGATGTAGGTTTTCTATTTTACTGCAGCTTTCCTTCCCTTGCATTTTGTAAAACTAACTAAACAGCTCTGAGAAACTAAATGTACAATATTTACAAATGGAAAAATGTGGCTGATCAATTTCACACTACAGTTTTTCTAAGTCAGCAATCCTTTGTGCCTCTGACAAGATTTTTCTTCTCATACATCATGATGTTTTGGGTTTCTTTTTTTCCAAATGAGCAGCTTTTCTCTCTGTTCCATATTGTATATTTGCTTTGGCTTCTTTACCTTCACTGGACAATGATAATGGACTTGGTTTTCATTATGTTCTATTTTTTCACACGATGTGGTTCATTGTGTATCAAATTGTGATTACCTGTTTGTGGCTGTCACTCCTGTTCTAAATTTCTGTTAAGAGGTGGTAATGACACAGGTTGTTCTACAGAACTCTGTCAGGGAGTTTGTTTCCTGTTTATTTCCTATTTCTGTTCTGTGCTGCTCCTGTTTGCAGCTGTGGTAATGCACAGTGTGGCCAAAAGTGGCACAGTAATTCAGTGAGATCGCTGCCATAAAGGGATCAGGCAGGCTGTTCTGTACAGCTCTCAGTTGCTTTGTGGCAGGGTCTCAGGGGAACTCAGTGAATACTGCAAGTCATTTTCAGCCTGGTCTTTGTGGCTCAATCAACCAGCCAAGTAACCCAGCAGCTAGCTCATCAACATAATTCCTTCCCTCCATGTCAGCAGGTTCCCAAGACCCTGAACAATGGGGCTTTTCATTAAAGGTCCCTTCTGTGTATGTGTGTGACAACTTTCTCAAAAGTTTGTTCTTCCCTTGCATTGCAATTTTGCAGTGGCAGATGCTGATCAGCCCTCTTCCTTGTTGTAGTGGTCAGCCTAATGAATTTGTGTGTGCAGGTGAAGTATTGCTCCCTAAGCATAAATAAGGTCCTTTTTTAATTCCTCTACTGAAAGTAAGTGTGTTCTTTTTTTTTTCTCAGATGTAGATTTTAAGGATTTGCCACGTTAGTGAGAAATCTTTCCATATGCTCTTTAAAATCAAGCCCCTCTGTCTTATTTTTAAGGTAGATTTTACTTACTAGATTTCTTTTATTCTCTATTATTAACCTACTGCTTGCTGTGGTTTTCCTTCTCCTGAAGAAGTCTTGGCTGAATGACTTTTTTGTGGATGAATTTCCCATGTGGATTTTTTTTTCCTTTTAGATCTACCTTCTTTTCCTCTAACTTAACCTTATATTCATGATTTCGAAATAGTCATGGTTTCTTGCTTCACTAAAGAGGTGTAAAAGCTCTTTTATCCTAACAGCATGCAGCTTCTTATGGAGGAATGAGAAGGGGAAAGTAGGAAAGGTAGACTAGCAAAGAAGCCTATAAACCTCTGGAATATGCAAAAATTTTCTAGTATGTTGGTATTAAACACAGATCTGGGCTAAAAGCCAGCCCTCTGTGGGGTAGGAGGAGTTTTTTTGTTCTCTAAAACATCATGTCATAGTTATGGCTTAGTTATTCTTTTGTTTTCTCTGTTGGGTTTTGTTTTGTTCTTTCTAAGGGATATTATTTTAGCTCCCCTTGTTCTCTTTTTAGAGGAGCAATAAGATTTTTTCTGTACATTGGTCTGAGGACTGCAGATATAAAATCTCACCTAAAGGAAAGTGATGAGTCCCTGCCTGGTGTTGCATGGCAGTATAAAGCTTGGAAAGCAGACTTTGACTGTATTAAAGTTGGCTTTTTATCACCTGGTGATCTTAATCCTGGTGTTTGTAACATAATCAGCAGGCATCACACCAGTGCTGCAGTTCAGTTCTGGGGTACTTTGGTTCCCTTTTTGCCAGCTGTTTGGGTTATCTGCATTGTGTCATGGGCAAGGTGTTCAGAATCTGGTAACAGAGGTCAATCAGCAGCAGGAGCTACTGAGAATTTGCTCTCAGGGAAGCCTCCAGCTCAGACTGGCAGTGCTTGCTCCCATTGCTGCAGGTGTGGGTGCAAACCTGGGCACCCCCAATGACACTTCCATGGGAAAGTGGTGCCTGGCAGGAAATCTTGATGAGACACAGCAGTGCTTGTGCCTACGGTGGAGTGTTTAGCTTACTCTGTGTAGATAAATGAGGTTGTATTCTGAAGATTTGCAGTTCAGAGGTGTTTTAGGAAGCTGCATTTTTTGCCTCTCCACTGGCTGGCTGGCAGCAGAGCTCCTGCACACTCACACCCAGAGGGCTTTGCCCAAGCCACCCTGCTGCAGCTCACCCTGAGACTGCACACAGAAGAGAGGACAGGCACTATGCAGGCAGGCAGCAGCTAAGAAAAGAAACTGGTTGCTGCCTTCAGCAGTCTATTGCTTGGCTAAGGTGAGCATTTTCTCTCTTCTGCTCCATTGCAGGCCACTGGCCTTTAAACTGATGTGTTTGACTTTGCTTTGTAGCACAGTGCACAACCCAGCAGCAGTTCAGAGGTAGAAGCCATAATCTCTTGGATGTTTCTGCCCTCCCAAAGCCATTATATCAGCATAAGTGCTGATTATTTGTTCTCTTTTGCTACCAGAGCAAAACTGGTTCGCTTGAACTGGTTTTTTTGTTCTTAATCTTTTTATTTTTCCTTCTTTATTGCAGCAGACAGGAAGAGGAGGGGAGAGTATTAGAATTGTGTGGGGCAAAAAACTGCCAGCTCTTTCATCTTGACACAAAACATTTACTTATGTCAACATATATGAGTGAGCAAGTATTTCAAACACCTAGGATATCTAAGAGTTCCAAGAATATCTCTGTGATGGGCTCTTTGTGGCTTCTTTGAAATCTGTTTCTTACTGTTT